GGGGGGGAAGGTACATGAAAACTCAGCAGCTCTCTGCACCGCCCACCTGCCCGCCTGGGGTGAGTGTGCTCGGTCCCCAGAGAGCTCAGCTCTGGGGGAAGAAGAGGCACCTGTCCTGGCTCCACACAGGGCCTGTGAGCACGGTAGCCCCCGCTTTACGCACGGGGGTCATTCCAAGACCCCCATGGATGCCTGAAACTGCCGATCGTACCACACTCTGTCTATACTGTTGTGGGTTTTTGCCTGTACAGACACACCTAAATTAAGCACAGCAAGCGACTAACAACAATAATAAAATAGAGCAGTTAGAACGTTGTACTGCAACGAAAGCTGCGTAAACGTGGCTCTGTTCAATAAAGCGAGGGTGTCCTGAACACAGGCACTGTGACACCTCGACAGTGGGTCTGATAACTGACTGGGCTACTGAGTGACTAACGGGTGGGGAGCGTGCACAGTGTGGAGACACCAGACAAAGGGATGATTCGCGTCCCGGGCTGGATGGAGGGGACAGTGTGAGAGTTTGTCACGCTGCTCAGAACGGTGTACAATTTAAAAGGCACGAATTGTTCATTTCTGGAATTTTCCATTTACAACCCGCTTCCCCACCCAGCTCAGCACGAGGGAAGCACCACTCCTGAAGGTATGACCGAGGACACCGGGCTCCCTCTCCCCCCAGCGCCCCCTCGAGAGTCGCACTATCTCCCCTGGGGGGCAGGCTGCCAGCATTTCTCAAGCCCCCAGCTCCAAGCTGCAGCAGCTCTATTCCAGGTAAGAATAGAGCTCCCTCCCTCCCTCCAACCGCCCCAATAACTGAAATGAAAAGTACCATCAATCAACAACCCAAACTTTCACATGAAAGGGCTGGAGACAAAGAAGAGCCCACGAAACCAGACGCGAGCGGAAGAAATAATGAAGATCATGGCAGAAATGAACAAACTAGAAAATAAACAACAACCGACAGAATAAATAAAACCAATACACTCAACCTTTGTAAAGATCACCAACAAAAGTCAGAAATGCCGGGAGCAAGTGTTTCCCGATGACTGAGGCTTTTGTTTGGCCAACATGGTCCTGCTCCTGTCCTGGCTTCGTCAAGATGCACAGAAGGACCGTCGAGAGGAAACCCCATCCGGCTGCACCTCCCCCCCCCGCTGCAC